TGGAATATGCCACACCTAAACATGCAAACTGATTCTATCAGTTCCCCCCCAAAAGCTTGATAAACATGGTAACAATGAACTATGGCATGATAATGCAAAAGCTATTTTTGCCACTGTGTGGGAGAGACCTAATAGCATAAAATTATGAATATAATAAACATGTAATATTCAATGTCAGCAACATCCTTAGCCTGAAGGCCAGTTGCAAACCTGAATACTACTGGCAGATACTCTAGAATCCAAGAATTTAGAGTGAAGGGGAAATAGAAGTGAGAAAACAAATCCCCATGTTCTTGAGCTGACAGCAAAGGATACAAATCCTCTTTTACTCTAAAAATGATGATCCCTTTTGCTTTCTACTAATGAAAAAGAGAAAAGAGGAAAAAATATGCCAGGTGACTTATGTATATATTTAATACCATGAATCCTAACAGACCAGTGAGGTAAGCATTAACAACCTTATTACAGCAAAATTAGGAAAAGTGAAGCAACTGTCCAAGATCATATGGGTAATATGTGGCAGAGATTTAAAACTGTATCTACCTAATTCTAAGACTACATACCAGAGCTGCCTTAACAATACCAAGCCGGTTACTAGAAACAAAGCAGCAAAAGGTCTTAAAATAAATCCACCCTTCTCTGGTCATTCTAAATAGCAGGGTCATCAATATCAAGAGAAGAGAAATGAGGAAACAGATGGACAGGAAATTCATCTGGGACACTAACGCATGAGCTTCTCTGGTGCTAAAATATCCCTACGTGTTTCCTAGTATATCCTAAACAGACAGACTGGATCAATAATAAAAAGCATCTTTAAGGGAGAAGCATAACAGGGTCACCTGGGTAGCTCAGTCGATTAAAAGGCCAGCTTGATTTTGGCTCAGTCATGATATTAGGGTCGTGGGATAGAGCCCTACGTTGGGCTGTGTGCTCAGCAGGGAATCTGCTTGAGGATGCCCTCTCCCCCTGCCCTCCCTCAGGTCACAGGCAGGGTGGGGGGAAGAGGGAAGGAGGGTGCATGCACGCTCTCTCTCTAAAATAAATAAATAAATCTCTTTTAAAGGGAGAATCATAACAAAAAGGAAAAACTGCAAAAAGGGGTAAAAACAGGAAAAAAAAAAACAAAAGGAAGAAATCTCAGGTAGAAGGTAGTGTCATCAGAAACTACTTATAGTGCTACTGATAACCCCCAGTGTCCCAGGATTTATATACATGTGAACTGTAAAATCAATCCTCTAATAAATATCAGGCAATGCAGAAATGCAGAAAGGCCTCGTTTGAACAAGTCTAAAGAAACATCAAATTTTATTTTGCTTTAATCAAACCAAATTATAACAGCTATTGCTACATGTGAAAAAAGTAGGTTATATACACGTGTGTTTACTTGTCTACATAAAGCAAATGTTCAAGGAAGTTTCTACTTTTTTGGTAAGCTTTTGCTCTTACTGAATCTGTACATGGAAATAAAACACAGGTGCATCTTGGGATTCAAATCCATCTTATACAAACTCAGGAACCAAGCAGATTCTGCTAAATTTTTAAGATTCTATTGTATGGTAGAATCTGCATCAATCATCATCTGAATTCTCACTCTTGTTATCCAAAACTGAGGAACTGAACAGATGTAGAGGACTCACTGTTCACTTACCCAGACTCTTACTATCCAAACTCAGGATATGAATGCAATAGATTCAGATTGCAAGGAATATCTATGAATCTCACATCAATTTTTAATATAAATTCACATGATTTACAAAATTAGGATTTTTTCTTCTAGCAACATATAAGTATTCTACTAAAATCACATAAACACTGGATGCAAAACACATCTGAAAAAACATCTTTTTATACCTACTTAGTAGTTTGTTGGAACAAGTTAAGTCATTGCCTCTCAGCTCCAAATCCCCATCCCTACTTCCCAATCTGCTTAATGATGCTGAAAACTGGGACTCTGCAAACCATATCTGTGCTTTGCCAGGTGGTTTCCTATAAGACTCTGCCAAGAGGGAGCATTTAAAGATGGACTGAAACCCTGGAGATGGAAAAAGATACTGGTGCCTTCCTGTCTATTCTTTGGGCTTCATAAGAGCATTACCCCAGCAAAGATTTCTTCATCCCCACAATAGGAGATCCTCCCCATAGTAGTAAGTGAATCCAGTTTATAGTTTTCCCAAGACTTGTGGAACTATCTTCATCATACCCCAGTGAAAGACACCAAAGACCAGTCAATACCCATTCTTCAGGAGTCTGGGTCTCAAACCCATGGGACCCCTCTTTTAAGTTCAGACACCAGCACCAGCCATGTAGTGTCTTCTCCTCAAAGGTCTGAGTTTTGGTTCTACAGGACCCTTCCTCCTAAGTCTCTAGGTTTTCCCTTTGGTCTCCAAGCCCTTGGGGTTGGCAGATGCTCCTTAAAGTGTCTCTCTCCATGATACTTAGTTTTATTTTTATCCCTTTTGTTACCTACTTAACAACTTTATACATAGTTAATGATTCTGTTAAAATCTCTGTGTTTGAACAAGTGGTGTGATTTCTGCCCCGACATGATCCTGACTTAAAAAAAAAAAGTCTCATTATATAGAATATTATACTGTTACAGTAAGTTTTGCTAAAATTCAATGCTACCTATACTAACAAGCAAAGAAAAACAAAGTGTCAAAAGTAACTTATTTAAAGAGTGTATCTTGCTATCACTACAAAATCTTTTGCAATCATTCTTTTAAAGAAAATATGGGGTGCTTTTTCTAATTCACACATAGTATCTACTGGTATAGAATTACATAACATAAAGACATTAACAATGGCTCTCTACCTTTCCAAATTTTCTACAATAAACGTATTACTTTTTAATACATAAAATACAGCAAGTGAAATTTTAAAAATTCTAACATATTCAGATTAAATATCCAGTATCATCTACAAAAAACAATACTTGTTTATTAGCCTAAATATTTAAGGATGGAGGGGGGTTTAATCCAATTTACTAACTACTCTTTCCTATCCAACAAATTTTTAAATGTCACTTTCATTTCACCCCCACCTTTATTTACACATAAAATGCTCACTCCCACTCTTACCTATGCCTACAAATCCCTACCTGCCTACCCATTTCCTCATTCCCAGCCACATATCCAGTTCTTCTCCACCAACACATATACTTCCTATTTTCAATCTAGCCATTTTCTAGATATACAGATATTATAACACAAGATATAAAGGTAGTACATACAAGAGAGGCATGGCAAACAAGCATTCATCAGTGGGTTTAAGAGTTCGGCTCTATTCCTATTTGGACAGTGTTGTTGGGGAGGCCATTTCTGGTTTGGGGAAGACTACAGGAAAGTAGACTAAAATTTACTGTGGTTTTAAGTAATCCAGGTTTCTCCCCCATCACCACCAACAAAAAATAGTCATTCTTTTCTCCTCTTCCTTGTATCAAACTCAATGCCTGCTTCCAGTTACAAAAGAAAAAAAATAATAAGGGGCTCCTGGGTGGCTCAGTTGGTTAAGCATTTGCCTTTGGCTCAGGTCATGATCCCAGGGTCTTGGGATCGAGCACCGCATTGGGCTCCCTGCTCAGCGGAGAGCCGGCTTCTCCCTCTCCCTCTGCCTGTTGCTCCCCCCGCTTGTACTCTCTCTGTCAGATAGGTAGAATCTTTAAAAAAAAAAAAAAAAAAAAGACAAACAGTGGTTTTCTATCCACACATTTAAGAATAGCAACTTTCTGCTTTATAGATGGACCATACAGAATATTACAGAAATGAAAGATGTATATAAGGATACTAAATAACCCAACTCAGACACCAGAGTACTAATTAAACGCTAAATGTATAGCTGTAGGCTCAAAAAATTTTGATCCAGAATATTGTTCCTCTAACACATAAGGCAAGTCTCCTGCCTCATCAGTTCCTGGATTCCCTCTGCCGGGAATGCTCATATTCCACATAACCAAAATCGAAGAGTCCATCACTCTTTCAGGTTTTCAAATGTCACCATGTCAGTAAAGCTTTCCTTGGCTAAAATAACACACACCCCTGTATTTCCCATTCCCCTTCTCTATTTTATTTTTCACCTTAGCCCTCATCACTGTCACTAACATACTTCTTGTGCTCACTTTAGCACCATATATACTAACAGGTATTTCTTGTTTATTAATTGTCCCTTCACCAGAATGTAGCTCCATGATTATAGGATTTTTATCTGTTATGTTCACTGCTATAGTCCTAGCATTTAGAATAGTGCCTGACAACATATTAGGTGCTCAGTATGCTGAATGAATAAATAATACACCTAGCTGCAGCAGTTACATGAGACCAGTAGATACTGTCATCAACACTTCACGTTCTAATCTGAAAGATTTCAATTAACAGATTAGATTTAGGTTATTTTTTCAAACTGTGCTCTGGGAACTGCAACAATCCCTCAGGGGCAATTGTGAGGGTAGAATATTAAAGCCTAATAAGCAAGTAGAAAAGCCCTGTGTGTATCTGTTTTATTCACAGGATTTCACGTAAGATTTAATTTGTAGAAAAGATTTAGCAACTTCAAAAAAATCTAAGACTACTGGGTTGTATACAACTTAGTTCCTACTTTTTAAGCTTTATTTACTGTAAATGAGGATAATCTAGGTATCATGTTTGTATCATCATTTAGAAAGAGATAAAAACTAGCACCAAGTCTTATTTAATCTGCTACAAAAGCAATCAAATTTACTGTGTATTTTCTAATTAAAACATGTAGAAAGCAGAATATTTTTAAAAAGAAATGAAGTATAAAAATTTTGTTATTCCATATACAAGAACATATGTAAATTCACTAAGTGGAAATTAAAATCCAAATCCCATTACCACTAATATCTCTGTAGGCAAAAATATCTCCCAACCCATCAAATAGCACTGTCTGACAAAACAAACAGTATTTTATTACGAACCTCACCTTGAAATTCATGGAGTTAACTTTTAAAACGTTACATGTTCAATAAGGAAAAAAAGAGCACTCACCTTAATGAAGTTACAGATGGACAAGCCTGTCCATACAAACCCATCTGGCCACAAAGAGAATCTGAAAAGTAAAGAAGAGTTAGTTAGCAGAAGCTCCAAAGTAAATTAAACTATAAATAAGATTCATTTCTAATTAAAACAATCTGAGAACAAATAGAAGGCTAAAAGATTCACCACTATCTGAACAAATACCTGTATGAATCAAAAATGCTATTAAACAATAAGAGGAATTATACTGAAGAAGACAGACATACCAGGAAGCATAAAAGAAATAGACACACTATAACTGTAATATCCAAAGGAGGTGAAAACTCTTAAAATTTAACAAATTGTTATGCTTGTTATACAGAGACCGTGTCCGAGTTATTTCGTAGAATCCTATTGATTCCAGAGAAGTGCCTAAAGGAAACCAAAGAGCTGAGTATGCAGGTTCCCATCCCTACATAATTGTCCCCCTTCCCATCAATCAAAGCAGTGTTATCTTTACTGGTTTTATATACCAAAATTCACTAAGACTTCATGTGAAGAATAATTCCATTGCTTTAAAGAAAGTTAAAAATAGCATTCAAATGGAAGGAGTTTTGAATAAGAAGCTCTAGGTTCAAATTCAACTATGACAGCATGAGACCTTGAAGAATTTATGTAACCTCACTGAACCTCAAATTCTTCATCTGTAACTTAGGGATAAATACTGCCTATATAATTTTATTTACTCATCAGGGACAAATTGCAGGTTTGTTATTAGAATTAAATAACTCAATGAACAAATGTAAAATGGTCTATTAGCGCTACTACCTGGCACAAGGTAGTACTCTACAAGTAGTATTTAGGTAACAATGTCTACAGGTAACATGAATGAGAGAAGTTGGAACAGCATAAGCATATATATATGCATACACTGCACAAATGGTGAAGATTATGTGCAACTAAAGAAAACATGTTCACAATGAAGGGGATGGATCGGCTGCTAGTGCCAGTTCCAGCCAATTGCTGCTAAGCAGGATTGCAAGCCCAATATTCTAAGAACTAATTTTTCAAGAGAAGCAAGATATCCAAAATTTTATTTGAAATCTCCTGATTTTTCTTTTCTAAATACCATGTGGACCAAACAAAACAGTAGATTCTGTCTATAACCTTTAATCTAGAGGCTGAATTGGGCGCCTGGGTGGCTCAGTCGTTAAGCGTCTGCCTTCGGCTCAGGTCATGATCCCAAGGTCCTGGGATTGAGTCCCACATCAGGCTCCCTGCTCGGTGGGAAGCCTGCTTCTCCCACTGCCCCTGTTTGCATTCTATCAAAAAATAAAAATAAAATCTAAAAAAAAAAAACAGATTTAAAAAAAAAAAATCTAGAGGCTGAACAAATTCCCAACATCTAATTGTTCCTGCATGCACTGGAGAGAGACAAGGCACTTATTCTTTTTTTTTTTTTTAAGATTTTATTTATTTGACAGAGAGCAGGACAGCACAGGCAGTGGGAGCGGGAGAGGGAAAAACAAGCGGACCCCTGGGATCATGACCTGAGCCGAGGGCAGACGCTTAACCAAATGAGCTACCCAGGCACCCCGAGACAAGGCACTTCTATTTCTGCTAGAATGACAGAATAGATAGCTTAATCAACATGTCACTGAAAATCACAAACATTGGATAAAATCTTTTAAAATCTGTATAAATTAATCAATAATCCTGAAGGAAAATAACATCCGCTCAAGGCCAAAAACTAAATATAACAGAGGAACTAAAGAAGTATGCAGGGTACTGAAAAAAGCTTTCATTCACCTTCAAGGCATTTTGCCAAACCCTATGAATTCCAGCTTGCACTCAGAAGGCAAATGGGGCCCAAGGTTCAAGAAGCAAAGTCCAGGTGTTACCCGAGAGATAGCAAGGAAAACTCTTTCTTAACCTTGCCACTGAATGCCAACGAGGGGATGGGGGACTATGATTGCAGTAAACAGTATCTCCCCTGATATTTATAACCATAAGCTGACTCTCACCTAGATTATAGTTTAAAAAGCTTCATACTTAGAATTTTGTTTAGGGTAGTGCTAGAATGGTAATATTCCCCACCCACCCTTTTGAAAATCAAATCTAAACCCTTTGGGGAATCTGCCTTTGATCTAGGCCTAGAACTCTCACAGATAAGGTACCAAAATAAATAAATTCATGGGGCACCTGGGTGGCTCAGTCAGTTAATCGTCTGCCTTCAGCTCAGGTCAAGATCCCTGGGTCCTGGGTTGAGCACCACAATGGGCTCCCTGCTTGTGCTCGCTCGAGAGCACTCTCTCTCTCAAATAAAATCTTTTAAAAATTAACTAATTAATTCACAATTTAAAAAAAAAAAATCACAAAACCCAGAAGGGGGGGGAGGAATTACAAAACCCAGAAGGAAACAAGCCACTCAGAGAAAGATATAGCTGAAACATCAGTTTGCAGAATCAAAACCTCAAAGATTTCCAGATACGGTAATTACTAGACACTTTACTGTTTTACTTTATGGATGATTTAACTACTCACGTGTCAATTACCTGTATGAATCTATTATCTGTATCTCTAACAGGGATCAATCTCCTAATCTACAAACATAAATATCTAACAACATTCCATCCTGGAAAACCCAAATCTGTCATTCCAAAACAAAATTCATCATCTTTAACGTATTTCCTATCATAAAATGACACAGTCCTTTTATCTAAGAATGGCCTTCTAGCCTAACTCCTTTCTTTGCCTTTATTAAAACAGAACACTTCTTTCCAATTCTTGATTTCTATGAGGAATGACTTCCCTAAACACTCCTAGGCTCTTAGGCCACTCCTCACCAAAAAGGTAAATAACTTGGTTACTGGGTAGAGCTAACTCAGGACTACTTCAGGACTCTACAGGCAGTGATCTGGATGCACCTGCTCTGTTGACAATAACAATCTACCTATCAGGTGGGCCATCCCATGGTCTAGATTGGATAGGTGGGGATAAGAGAATGTGGAGAGTGAGCTAGCCCATTTGACTTTTAAAACTAAACCACATTCTATAATATTCTACAATATCGGTTTTAGCAAAAACAAAGGTAACTCCTCCAAAAGTTACCATTTGACCCAGCAACTCAATGCTACACACGAGTGTGTGTGTGTGTGTGTGTGTGTGTGAGTGTGTGTGTGTGTGTATAAAATCCTCTTGGGGATGGACAGATACACACACACAGGTACATGTGTGTGCATGCCCAAGAGAATTTAAAACATATGTTCACAAAAACTTGCACATAAATGTTCATAGCAGTATTATTTATAATGGCCAAAAAGTGGAAATAAACCAAATGTTCAACTTACGAATGGATAAACAAAATGTGGCATATCTACACAATATCCCTAATATACAATATTATTTTTCAGCCATAAAAAGGAATGAAGTCCTGTTACATGCTACAACATGGATGAACCTTGAGAGCCTTATGCTAAGTGAAAGTCAGACACAAAAGACCACATATTTGGAAAGTAGATTAGTAGTGACCAAAAGTCCCTAATACTAAAAAAAAAAAAAAAACCTTCAGCATAAAACCAAATTCTATGCCTTAAAATGGTAAACTTTACAGTATGTGAATTTGTATCTCAATAAAAAACTAATTTTAGGGGCGCCTGGGTGGCTCAGTCGTCAAGCGTCTGCCTTCAGCTCAGGTCATGATCCCAGGGTCCTGAGATCGAGTTAACCCCAGGCTGGTTAACTGAAAGAACAAACATCTGCCAATCTTCTCCCTACCCAGCAAATGACCAGCAACATGGAAATCTCACAAAAGAAAGCTAAAGTTCACAGTTCAGTCAAGAAAGTCTCAGTGTCCTCTGAATTACAAACTCACATTTCTGAAGCCAATTACAGTTGAATAATTATATTAACTCATTCAATTATATCCATAATTTACACAGTTTGAGTTGGTGCCAAAAGCACCTTATAGAATTTTCTCCAAATCCTTTAAAAAATCAACATATAAGAAAGTTTGTGTAAAATGGCACAACCAGAATATGGGTAGTAAAAAACAGCCATTCACTGATGAGTATGCTCCAGTAAAAGCAACTGTACTATATACCATCACCAACACAAGAGTATGGAATTCCTTTCAATAATGTAAGCAGTCTTCAAGTGTATATTATATTGAGTTACAGGGGTACCTGGCTGGCTCAGTCAGTAGAGCATGCGACTCTTGATCTCAGGGTTGTGAGTTCGAGCCCCACAGTGGGCACAGAGATGACTTAAAAAAAATTTTTAATAAAATAAACTTAATTATAAACTATTTACATTTAGGAAGCAGATGTTTAACAGACTAACAGTAGTATAATAATGCATTATTTGGGAGCAGGAGGTGACAAAGAATTTTGAAAAAGCTCCCAAGAAATTTTTATCTTAATTCTTATTCTCCTCTCTCCCACCAACACAGGAATATAATCCTTTATAGTTTACAAAGAACTTACGACATTCATGACTGAGTCAAGACCTAGATTGGAATCCCAATTATGACCTTAGGTATACTGTTACCTTCTCTAAGGCTTAATTTCCTCCTCTCCACAAAAGAGAAGAGTCATGCCTCACAGTGACCATAGCTTGAATGAAAGCATCAGCATAATATTAGAAAAAAGAACTACAAGTTTGTTGAAAATAAATGCTACAGCACTAGAGGTAAGAAACTATTCCTTCTTTTTTTTGTTTTAGCTTCTGAACTTAGACCTGTCTTTCAAAAGACTTGAAAGTATAAAATTCACTAGCATCCATGAAGAAACAACCCCTTTGACTCATGTTACTTAACTGAGCCTTGTGACTTGTTATACCATTAGTCACAGGTAATTATTAAAGCAAAGAAATAACCTGTTTTAATCAGCCTGACAGAAGAAATCGGCCAGAGGAAGGAGTAAGGGGAAAAGAATCCTGCTGAGTGAGTAGCAATCAGCTGCTCATCTCACCTCCACTAGCTACACCTAAAGGCAGTGGCACAGCTTGAGCTAAAAAGTGAGATCTCAGAGTCCTATGCTCTCAGAAAGCAATTAAAATCATGTCAGAATGATCAATTCACCGCGGGAGAATTAA